GTAGACAGTGTACTGCTTCCTATCAGAAAAGTAGGAATACAACCACTTATTTATCCAGCTCTCAGTCTGTGTTGCAGCAAGCTTAGTTAACAAGAGAGACCTAGGTACAGAGTCAAATGCAGATGTGTAATCAAGGAAGGCACACCGAACATATTTGGCTCCTCTATCTAAACTAGAGACTATATTATGATGTAGAACTACAGCGGCATCTAAGGTACACCTACTATGTTTATAGGCAAACTGGTCGGGGTCGTTAAAAGGCTTTAAAGAGGGTTCAAGATTAAGTAAAATAAGTCTTTCCATAACTTTTAGAAAAGGTGAGGTAATAGCAATGGGTCTAAACTTGACAGTAGGTCCACTTGTTGATTTGGGCACTGGAACAACCTTGATATTTTTCCATGAGTCAGGAATAAAACTTTTGGAAAAAGATTCATTGAAAATGTCGGTTAATGGGTAACATAAGATGTCAGCACACTTCTTAAGGATAACAGCAGGAATTCCATCAGGACCAAGGGACTGGGTAGGTTTGAGAGATTGAAGACCCTTGAGGACATCATTCGTGTTAAAACATGAAAAGCAGTCATTATTTATACTATTAGATTTGGGAATCATAACATCTGCAGGGATACATATGAAGGATTTATTAAGCATATCAACATCGACAGAAGTATCATTCATTATTTGCTTACCACCTGTGATTTCCTTTAATAGCTTCCACATATTAGATGAGGATTTACATGAAAGAAACTTCTGGTTATAGAGAGCATTTAATCTTTGTAATTCGGCTTTAATCAAAGTGTTTATTCTCTTAACACCAGATTTATTTTTCATTTTGTATAACCTCTCTTTTTGACGGCGAAGCTTTTTGAGTTGAGATGAGGCGAAACGGTCGAACTTTAAGAAGATTGTCTCTTTAGGACAACAAACATCAAGACAGAAATTGAGATAATGTGTTATGTTACTAATTGTGTTGTCAAGAGCTTGTTCAGTAAACAGGTCCCAGTTTGTGTCTTTCAACATTGTCCTTAGATTCTGTATGTTGTCATGTGAATAACATCTGTGTTGTGTTTTCTTTCCAAGGTGGGAGAAGACCCTTTTGTGCAGCTTTCCATATACTTTGGGCAATACTCTTATGATGCAGTGATCAGAGTTAAGTAGTGGGGCTCTTTTCCGAGCTTCAAATATTCCTATGTCATTTGTGAACACAAGATCTAGAATATTATCCATTCGAGTCGGGAAGTTGACAATGTTATCATGACCAAGTGAAATAAGGAAGCTGTGATCACTAGAATTGAAATCTCCAGTAACTATAGACAACGAGTTTCCGAAGGAGGTGGCAGCTAAGGAGGTAAATTCATCAGCAAATAAAGACAATTCAGTGGAATTGCATCCAGGTGCAATGTAAATGTTCGAGATGTATATGTAGTTATATTTTGACAAATGCTTAGGTCGACATCTGACGGTGAGGCAGTCAATGTTGTCACTAGAGAATTTGAAACATACTTAATTAGATGTACACCATTGTGAATTTATGAAGATGGCGACACCTCCACCACGTTTCTTCCTAGAACTACATCGATCTTGTCTGAATAGTTTGAAATCATGTAGATACACTAGATTGTCATCGTATAGATCATGTAGCCATGTTTCTTGAAGTGATATGATCCCAGTATTTCCATATATATAATGGAAGACACAAGTGATTGAAGATAGTTAATCTTGGCTGGCAGGGAGCGACAGTTAGTACTCATGATTGCAGGAACGGTCATAAATTGAATAGGCGTGCTTTTTAAGGCTCTTTGCCACCCGGCGTGATATTTTTTTTGTCTTTTTTATGGCATTTCCGATCAGTAGGTTTTAAGGATATTAAATACTCACGAGAATAAATAATCCGATTAGAGGACATATTAGAATAAAATTTAATTATTTAAAATAAATTGGAAATGAGCAATTAGATGCAATATGATTTGTAATGATTAAGGTATTTGGTAGCCCAAGATTTAAGCAGGCCGCCAAGGTCAAGGAACTAACACAACTTCCTTGCTTCATTTATATACATGAGTAAAATTTGATTGGACATTTGAATTAATTCAATATAAGATAAAATACATTCAGAAATAATACTGGTGTTATGCACCAAATACTATAAGAGAGGCAAGAAGATGTTGCAACGTGTTTAAAATAAATAACTTGGTTATGAGGAATAATTTGTGCTCGAAACATCATCAGTTAATGTAACTGTACAACACTGTGTGATTTATCAAGTGCAATTTTATCCATTATAGAGTTATACCGTACCACAGGGCCCAAGGTTTATACTTATATCATTAGTGACCATTCATTGGTCTGAATATGCAGATATCCGAGAATGAGTGAATTATTGTTTACTCCTTTTCAATGGGATCCAAGGAAATTTCGTCAATGATTTACATTCTTTCATCTCGAATTACCAAAGTCTGAAATCTGAATGGAGTGCACAACGATCACTCTACTTACAGGATTCTATTCATTTCTTGTAGCATAACGTGCTGCCTATTACTCTGTTATCTGAGCATAAACAATGTATAGGTGAACTGTGACTGCAGAATTATACATACAGATTACATTCAAGGTCTTCGGTTATGCTTCGGTGTGATGCATAAATTCCGGTTTTTCGAAATTTGCACTTTTACAGTCTTGTCATGGGTGACAGTGAATTTCCTCTTATCCCCGAATTCCTAGTCAATAAATGTCCATTTGCAGAGGATGCATTCAATATTGACACTGAGACACTTGTTGCTTTTGTCTGGATGAAGAGAATCTATTCAAATGTGTGTAAGTCAATCGAAACAAATTGTTCTTATGACACATCTGACCTTGTCTATTGATATGCTACAATTCGAAACACTGTCAGGCACTCAAGGGTCTGATGACGTCAGTTCAGCTACATCAACCAGTAATTCATACACCCTACTTGTATAACTCCGATGTACGACATGAAATGACACTAATTAGAATTAATAATCACCTGAGTTCTACGGTCTGTTAGGAATCCGTTAATTTCAATATAGAAGAAAACCTCATTTAGACATTGAGAAAGCAAAAGGGATGAGTGACATAACATTCACTTTTCAATTAGATCCTCATTTCTGCCTCCACTCTTACATTTAAAGCATTTTTATTACAACAATTTACCAACCAAATGGCACTGATATGTTTGTTAACCATAATTAGTCAGTACCAGCATGTCAACAGGGTGATAATTAACGAAGAAAATTAATACACACAATTGAAAGGTAGAAACGGTTACAACAAGTAGATTGCATGATGCATAATGTTTGGAAGAATGGAGAGTGTGATAAAGGAATATGAGAACGCTCTAGTTGAATACGTAAGAGATTATTAAAGAAAAATAAGACGATTTGGACAATGGTAAATTTGTAACTGATGATGAAGTAGTCAGACAAAATAGTTTGAACGGTAAAATTTTTAAAAGGCTTAGGGGAATGGCGGCGAAGTAGTCCCGTTCGCACATTAAGGTAACGATGGTCAAGATAAAGAAAGTGACTGTACGAATTTCTTCTGAACACACATGTTTGGCTTCTTCAGGTGGATTCCCATGGCCTCAGCTCTGTCTAGAAGAGTAATTGGTTAAGCAGTTTTAAGGATAGTAGGAATGCGGTAAATAACTTCGAATGCTGTATTAACAGCAACATCATGCTCACTATGCGCAAAGAGTGCTTAAAAAGAACTACGATTAAAGCATGATTGTCCTTCGCTTTACCGTGCCGGAGGATGTCCGGAAATACGGTGATAAACCTGCCCAGTTGTACACCTAATGTAGGTGGCTCCACTGCTTCAGTCAAACTGGTAGATGCACACAGATGTGGAGGAGAAATTGGGTAGTTTGTCCTTATTTCTCGAGTGTAAAATGTGGGTGTCACTGAAGAGACAATGTAACTCTGCTGCATTGAAAGCCCTTTCAACTGCATATTTCAAGCGCTGAGTTACTATTTCTCTGATGCTGTCACCGAGGAAATGCAGTTTTATGAACAATCGTCTTGTTCTTGCCTTGTTCTTGCCATACTGACTCTGCTTGGTGCTGAATTCATACTTTTCTCAATGAACTTATTTGAATAACCATTCTTCCCAAGTAATTCTCCAATAATCTTAAGCTCCTCATTGAGGGAGTCGTTTGAACAGATTATCCTAACTGTATGAACCAGACACTTTACTAAGTTACATTTAAACTTCAAACATGCAAAACTCGGAAACTGAGTGTACTGACTTGTTGTTGTAGATTTCCTATCCACGCTCCTTCGTAGTGTGCCATCTTCTTTCCTGGCTAGGAAGACATCTAGGAACGAGATATTGTCATTACCTTCTTTCTCTATGGGGAAGTTAATTGCTGAATGCACATCATTGACATTGTTGGGATATTCATAGCTTCATTCTCGTTTTTCACAACCAGAAGTGTATCATCCACATATTGACAGTAGAAATCCAACTACTTAATTACTCCTATCAGTTGTCTATTTTCTAACTAAGCGAGGAAAACAACCGCTGGGATTGGAACTAATGGGGAACCCATAGTCACACCATCAGTTTTTTCGGTAATATTCTTTATTGAGTAGTAATTAAACATCCATTGTACGTCTTAAGATATGTTCCTTCACGGAGGATAATAATAATTTTTGCTTTATTTCAAAAACAGTATTAATGATACAGCAAGGAATTTTCAGCATTCAGTACAATATCGCATCTAATTTACTCAAAAACGACAACAACAAAAATTAATAAACGAAATAATTAATACATAATAATGATAACAAGACGTTTTTATAGCAGCTACGTAGCAATTACAGTATACGATAAGGGGAAAAATACGCATAAAGTATAAAATTATAGTAATAATAGTAGTAACAACTAAAATAAAAATAGCAAAGTTATAATTAAACGATAGAAAGGGTGACACCATAGAATTACAGAAAGATGAACAATGAAAGGGTCGATTCACTATGCTAATTACATAGTAACTTGTATGTTTCACGTCTAACAGAGTCTTCATCACATAAAATACGGGCTAAATACGGTATTGTAGAATTTTTGTACTTAGTGTTACGAGCATATAATTTCTTATATTGACTTCTCGTTCTACCTGATGAGATACAAGGGGATAGTTGTGAATAAAGAGGGTGCAGAGGGTCTGACAGTACGGCCTTTGCCCAATTTGTACAGGAATTTACGTGTCTCTCGACTCTAGTATTGGCGAGCTCACGTAGTGGCAAACCACAAGCCCTACCCACAGCATTTAATACCCTTCGTAATATGACATAGTCTTTTTTAAGAAGTCCAGGAAAGATTAATGGAGAACAATAGAGTACAATAGGTGAAATACAGGAGATTAAAAATTGCAGAACTAAAGGTTGGTTAATACCTTGTTGTCTTAACTTTTTAATGTAGAAGGTAAGACGAAACATTTTTTTAGAGGTCAATAAAATGTGGGATGACCATGGAAGGTCACAGGAAAGAACTAATCCAAGGTATTTAATGCTTAACTTGGTTTCAATTTCTGTGCCATCTATGCTACAGGCATCATGGGAACTAACTAGTTCATGTATGTCACGTCGATGCTTGAAGGTAAAGTTAACTGCCTGACATTTGGAAGGGTTTAACATAAGACCATTTGACTTAGACCACTTGCTGATGTCCAACAGAAAGCTATTAAGTTTGGAGCAGTCAGACTCGGAAGTGATAGGCAGTGATACAGTCAGATCATCAGCATATTTGACAAAATTAGTTTCGTTTAAATGTGGCAGGTCGTGTAGGAAGAAAGAAAAAAGAAAAGGAGGGAGGACGGCACCTTGAGGAACACCGGCTTTTGTAAGCAAAGCAGAAGATTTGCCATTATATGCAGTATACTGCATTCTATCAGAAAAATAAGAATGCAACCAACTCTTAGCCCAGGATGCTGTGTGCGTCAAGGAGAGCTTATTTAATAAAAGACCCCAAGGTACAGAGTCAAACGCAGATGTGTAGTCTAGGAAAGCACCACGAACATATTTGGCACCTTTGTCTAAACAAGAAACAACATTATGATATAAGACAACCGCAGCATCCAAGGTACTTCTACCATGTTTATATGCAAATTGCTTAGGATCATTAATTAGTTTCAATGAAGGTTCAAGACGAAGTAAAAGTAGTTTTTCCATCAATTTTAAAAAAGGAGAAGTAACTGCAATAGGCCTAAATTTAATATCGGTACCAGAAGATTGTTTTAGTATAGGGATAATTTTAATGTTTTTCCATGCAGAAGGTAGAACATTACTGGAAAAGGAAGCATTAAAAATATTAGTAAGAGGGTAACACAAAATATCAGCACAGTTCCTGAGGACAATGGCAGGTACGCCATCAGGACCAAGGCTTTGGGAAGGCTTAAGAGAACGGAGACATTTAAGCACATCAAGGGTATTAAAACCACTAGAATTATTGTCTGTGTGATTTGTATCATTAGGAAGGATATCGACAGAGGAGCGTACGAAAGACCTATTAAGATTATCAACATTAAGAGATTGGACAGAAGTACACCGCTTACCGCTAGTTATTTCTTTAAAAAGTTTCCACAAACTAGAAGGGGTTTTACATGACAAGAATCTTTGGTTGTGTAAAACATTTAGTCTGTGCATTTCGAGTTTTATCAGAGTATTTAGCTTTTTTACCCCTGACTTATCATTTGTTTTGAACAACAGTTCTTTATCTCTAAGTAACGTTTTGAGATATGAAGAAGAGAAACGGTCAAATCGAGTGAATAATGTTTCTTTAGGACAACATATTTCCAAACAGAATTTAAGATAATCTGTAGTGTTTGTGATTGTGTCATTTAATGTTTGTTCTGTAAATAGGTCCCAGTTAGTATCTATCAACATGCATCTGAGTTTGCTTAGATTGTCTTGTGAGTAGCATCTCCGTTGAAATTTACTGTAGAGGTGAGAGAAGACACGTTTGTGTGATTCGGAATATATTTTTGGCAGTACACGTATGATGCAGTGGTCAGAGTTCAATACAGGAGCACGTTTGCGAGCTTCATATATACCAACATCATTGATGAGTACTAGATCTAGTGTTTTTTCGAGACGGGTAGCAAAGTTAACAATATTGTCATGGCCAAGTGATATAAGGAAGGAGTGATCACATGAGTTAAAATCGCCAGTCACTATTGATAAAGAGTTCTCGAAGCAAGCTGCAGCAAAAGCGGTGAATTCATCTGCGAACATAGATAAATCCGATATGGTACAGCCAGGAGAGACATAAACATTAGAAATATAAATGAATTTGTATTTTGACAAGTGTCTCGGGCGACATCTCACAGTGATGCAATCAATGTAGTCATTCGAGAATTTGAAACAAACTTTGTTAGAAATAGACCATTTTGAGTGAATAAATGTAGCTACTCCTCCGCCGCATTTTTTCTTGGAACAAACACGGTCTTGTTGGAATACATTAAAATCATTTAAAGATACTATATTGTCATCATATGAGTCATGAAGCCAGGTTTCTTGTAGAGTGACAATACCAGTATTGTGATAAGTTTCGGATAACAACAGGGACTGAAAATCCAGAATTTTGTTAGGCAGTGACCGACAATTGGTACTAACGATTACCGGAACAGTGGTTTGATGTATGGGTGTAGATTTTAAAGCACGTTGCCAACCACCATAGTTCTTTTTCTTGAGTTTATTGCAAATACGAAAGTTTTTAGGTTTTAAGCATTTTATGTAATCCCGAGAGTGAATGATACGATTAGAATGCATAATTTTAAATGTAAACACCAACAAAATATGAGTAAATAGATGCAAAATGTACATGGAATATGGTAGCCTAAAATAATCAGACAGGCCGCCAAGGTCACAATCTCCAGGATACAGAAGTAGCGATGTCTATGTTTAGCTTAGTATTCTCATCACATATAAAATCCACTGTCTCCATTACCCGTACATGAGTGAACAAGAAGGATATATCAAAAGATATCATAAACGTGTCATTCACATTAAGATCTCATATTTTTTGACAAATTCAGAACTATCTTATGCACTGTGTTCTACCAGCTCGTCATGCAGCAGTTTCAGGAGCTTCACAAACCATTTTGCTGCTGCGAGATATGGGGGATTACACATGTCCAGCACTGGTCGAAGTGGCAAACCATTTCAGTGCACATCCTGTAGCCCATATAATCTTGTCGCCACCCTACCAGTTGGCTTTAGAGAACCATATAAAGCTTCTGTGTTTCTACCTTGTTGTTTAGGTCATTTCAGTGACCCAATCAGCTGTTTATCAACCTTTTCAGTTGGATCAACGGAAGATGAAATCCTTTGAAATTTTCGGTGATCAAGAGTATTGCATTCATCTTATCTAGGTGCTCTGCCGTATTCATGATTACTACTCCAGAAAGCCTTCAGTTTGTGTATAAGGGTTTTCGGACTAAAATTGCATAAGCATCTTATTAGTTCTAACATGGTGATCACAAAACGTAGTGCCAAGGGATGATACTAAGAAATTTACATTATCAAGAACTTTCTGTATACATAAGTTAACAGAAAAATTATTATGGAGCCTGATGCAGTAATAATTGAAGAGAATTGTTTGCTCCAATTATTCTCTTCGTGTACTAAACGAAAATCATAATGAAAGAATGATTATGAAAATGAGTAGGCAATTGAGTACCACACTGAAAATGAACTCATGCTGTACCTCTTAAACAAAGTACTTCCTCATGTGAAAGGAACTGAATGACTTGGTTGTCAATATTTCAACTTATTTACACTCTTAAAGAATCGAAAAGGGATTGAACAACTTCCTTCTTCATGAGAAACGCTGACTGCATTAGGTGGAGTGGAACTGACCTCTAATGATTTGGTGGCGCTGGAGATCCTAATCCATCTATCAGTGCACCAGTTCTACAGCTTCTCAGTCACCAGCATCAGTCAATCTTCAGCCACATTCCATGACTCAAAACGCTCGAAATTCTCACGTGTTTGGACGCCTTCTCCATAATTTCAGCAATAATGGCTTATCTTGTGGTGACACAGTGTGTACCAAACGCGATTTCACTTCATCCTCGTCACCATATGATCTTCAACAGACTCAACAGAGAAAACTCCTAGCCGATATGATATGGAGTCAACGGGAAGCGGATTATTTAAAGACTTTATAATCATTCACTTAAACTTGGTTAATAGAAGCCAGTGGGGAAAGATAAGTGGCTATTGGGAAAGACAGCCAAATGTTAGATGCGGATGTGGCAAGAGTAATAAATTGCACCTTGTCTCCATCTAATTACGAGATACGCAAGGGGGAACAAGATGGGCTTAGAGGAGGAGGTATAAATTTCATTCCCATCTCTCCTCTGCCATCTTCCTCCTTGTGTTCAACAGTGTACTACTTACCACCAGTAAGCAGTATGAGTCAATATTTGTCACTTCATATAGACGACTTTTGTTCGCCATTGATTTCTAACTCATTTAATGTATTAATGCTCCATTTCATGTGTAGTAATTTTTTTCCTGCAGTTTACCGTTATCTGCCACATATGATTTATTTATATACCCTACACTGCTGAATATGGTTTATTTGAACCTCTTTATTCCCCGTCTGCAATTAGGGCGCTGTTCAAACCTGACCGGGGATCGCGCTTCATGCAGCCTTGCTGTTCTTCTTATTGACGCACAACGATCGCGTATTTGACGGTATCCACCCATAAACACATCAAAATTAGAGGTCTGCACGTAGTATTTCATCATTCATGCACAATATACTACCGTATTCTAGACTAATTCTGTGACTTTGGATTCCATGAGTCACCCAACATGCAGTTCAATCCATTCCAGGTATTATCGATCAGAATTCCTAAACGAAATCTAAGTCTGCCTCGTTTGTTTATCTGAATGATTCGTCAGCGGATAAGGATCACCACAGAATTCCGAACGCTGAGATTAAGTGCAGTCCTATTTTCGATGCACGGATGACATTTTCATGGGACATATCAATTTTACCAGAGACTTCACTTATAAGACTATTTATATCAGAACTAGACATTCTTGCATCCCTCCACACTAGAGTGTCATTTAGCTGCATTTAGTTTTCGTAGGAATTTTAGTTCACCTGGAGTTGGAACGCTTTCTGATGGGACACAGCATTATTGCTAAGTGTTTAACTAATCCATAATTCGGGGTATTTCTAAAATCAATTGTTGGGCTTGTAGACTAATGTGGTTACCACATATCTTAATGTCATTACAAGTTTGAAGCACTAAATTAAATAATTTAGACTGGCCCACCAAAGTCTTCTTCCTGCAAACCAAATCTGCTGCAGATTTCTTTGTCTTATTCATCACTGCATATATAGGCTTCCTATGGAGCTGTTCCGATATGCAAAATCACTTTCGACATAGAGTCGGATTTATCCATAAATATAGTCGAAGTGACGTCATCAGCATCTGCAATGACTCTGTGTTTCCCATCTTTGAGGATTATCAGAGCTAGTCTCCTCAACATCACAAAGTGAGTTTGGCTGTGATTCAATCCACTACTTTAATGCTATTAAACGTCGTGACCCGACCATCTCTGTTGCTCTCGTATTTATTGAACACAACGCAACCTCTATGTTAGGAATGCCACTCTCCGGCTTCAGCTTATTAAATGTCATGTTGAGAAAAATAAACCTGTCCCAGGTACATCTATCTGACTGGAACTGAGTTCTCTCGATGAGAGCTTGATCAGCCAATTGTCGACAGGTCTTCCATTTTCTGTGTTCTCCCTTTCTTTCGTTCATTTGTTGAACGTCGTAATTCGCGCAAATCTTCACATGTTCAGGGCGATTTCTATATTTCTCGTGTCGTTTCAGCTGGGAATTCACAATCTTTGTCCGTTGTCATATCGAGGCAAATCATCCAGGAGAGAGAGTGATGGAGAGCCAGAGAGAGGGTGATGACATGAAGTGTGGAAATTTTACAGAAGGACAATGAAGTCTTCACGATTAACCCAGCCAGTTAAGAGGACATATCCACATCGAATCCCTCTGCCTGAGATACAAATATTCTCCAGGAGATATTAGAATAAAACTTTTGCACTGTGGTAGAGTGTAATTGCATTATGGGTAAATTTTGTTTTGATAAAGTCTCACAGTGTTATACAGTAATGTTTACTGATGACGTGTCGAGCACAATTTATTGCTCATAATCATATCGAGATAATCACACGACTTCCTAAATTCACTCATATAGTTCCGTTGTTTTTCACTTGAATTTCACTTGATTTGATTGGTAGTATTATTTTCCATATTTCGAGTATGAGTGATGAATCATTCCTATTGCATGTGTTGGGTGTAGATTCGATGAACAAGGATTCAGTAATCAACCTCTCTCTCCACCTACTGAGATTACTTTTTAGAATTTTAACCCTCTCCCATCATATTGTGTGGTTGTGTGTTAATGCATGCATTGCAATTGCTGAGCTTTTTTCTAAATTACTTAACTTCTCGGGGTCAACCATTATTACCTTAGCTAAATTCTTATGCTCTGACAATCTGACTACCCCTGACCTGCTAGTTTGACCTATGTACTTGAACTCACAGTCATTGCAGGGTACTTTGTAAATTATATTATTTTGTCTAATTGAGTCAACTGGGTCCTATAAACTACAGAGCTTGACACTGAGTGAGTTTGTAGGTTTAAATGACACCCCAATTTATGCTACAATTAGAGTCCTACGTCAGGTCTCAGATGTCCCCTCTTTATATTGTATAAATGTGGATAATAAATATTCCCTCTCATTTATTTTATCTGCACGAAAAGAATACTGTGAATTAGATGAGAGGACACATGAAATATTTATACAGCAGATAGATGTATCGGTCATGCTGACAACCCCAACAGTAGTATTATTTGTGTAGAAAGTGAGTTCGATATTCTGGAAAGTGCAACTGTTCCAATTATCCCTACTTCAATTAAACTCTTGTTCAGATATTCAACCGACACAATCTCTGCATTTATCTCCGCACTAAGTCATCACTCCTTCACAAATATACAACAACGAAATAGTGGACTGAAACACTAGCCTCTTCGAGTCACGAAATCAACGGCATCAGTTTTCGATGCTACAATATTTAGAGATTGGGTTTTGAGAGAAAATCTCCTCAAAGAATACCATGTCATCTTCAAATCACAGAGAATTTCAAACAACACCGTTCTCTTTGAGATTTCCGACATTCCATAAGTGAAGAGAATTGTGTGCATTCTATTCAGGCACAGAAAGAAATACACTCATCGTCTAATTAGATGTGAATGAATGAAAATAATAATTGACAGGAGTTCTTTTCATCATTATTTGAAATTAGTCTATTCATCGGAGAGAACTGAATGAGGCGACTCTGAGAGTTCTCTGCCTACACAACAATTTGCACTCAATCAGCGTTTGTTTCTATGCCTTTGTTGTATGAGTTGAATTAGGTCAGCGTAGGTGTGTCTCTTTTGTTGGTGCGATGGTGGCTCAAAATCAAAGAATGCCAGCATTATGTTCAATTTAATTAGAAATTAAACTATGAAAACAAGCATGAATTCTACCTAATCCAAAGAGAGAGTTTCAGATCAGACGGTCGAATACGTTTAGATTTATTTTGAGCATTTTCTGAGATCTTATTATTATTACGAATAGTGGTACAATTAGTGCAATGTTACAGACCTCAGCCTCACTGTTTGAGAACTATGTGTGACAGATTTCTTGAATGTTGTCCAACATTACAAGCATGAAACAATCGA